TATATATATATATATATATTCTTCGGATTCAGAAGAATATATCACCAATATCCCATTAAGCTTGTACGGATCAGACTTGGAAGAAAGTTGAGAACAAAACTTCCTATGATCTTTGTCATCATAGAGGTTTATGATCCCCGTTTTATGGGAACTGCCATGACCAACGGAAAACATTCCATCACCATCACCCTTGTCACTCTCAATTAAACTTCTTTTCTTCTTGGAAAATGAAGTAGAGAATTCCTCTATAATCTTTCTTTTATCTACTTAGGAAATGTTAAAATTCCTGCCTATACCATCACTAGTTGAAACACATGCCATTGCAGTCTCAACATCATTGTCGCTAACGAGAACAGCAATTGATCAAAGACACACCCTGTCAGCTACTGTATCCAAGTTATTCTCTGTATCCAAGTTCATCCCGGGTAATAGTACCACGAGGATAATCACCAAAGCCACCGGACAGCTTTATGATGCCAATGGAGCAAGATGAGCTATTCAATGAAACTCGTATTGTAAAGAAGAAGAAAGAGACTGATTCAGAAAGGTGGGTCGAGAGTCGAGCCTCGACTATACATGTAAGTTTTTTACTTTTCATTAAGTATTTTGATTTACTTTTATATAAATTTTGAAATATTAATTCAATATAATTTTTCTTATAGGTTCGCTTCACAGCTGATGTGGGGGAATTCATACGCAGTCAGCCACCAATGAGTCGGCCGAGGCAATCCAACTTTCGAACGAGGATGCTAAAAGAACACTCCTTGAGTACCTAATATACTTTGAACTAGACAATAGAACTAGTTTTCGAATGAGCTTGTAATAAACGTTAACTTAGTTTTGTTAGCTTAATGTTTTAGTTCTATTGATCTTTATATTTTGTTGCTTTTTAGTGTTGTTGTTGTTGTTGTTGTTGGCATAAAATGCCTGTTTAGGATATTTGGTATAAGCTGGCAGGTGGTGTAGCAGCCAAAACAGGCAGTTTCTGCCAAAAATATACCAAAAAAAGCGACCAACTTTGGTCTCCAGTTGGTCGCTTTTCACTTAAAAAAAAATAATTTTCTGGGCAATAGCGACCAGTCTTGGTCGCTATTGTATTTTAAAAAAATAATTTCTGGTAATTTTGCGACCAACGTTGGTCGCTTATAGTTAAAAAAAAATTAATTCTTGCCATTGCGGACCAATTGTGGTCGCAAATTAAATAAAACATTATAAAAATTATTAATATAGCGACCAAAGTTGGTCGCTTGATATGATTAACAATAAATAAAAATAAAACGTTATTTACATCTGGAGACCAACTTTGGTCGCCAAATTTATAATATTAAAATATTGTGCGACCAAAGTTGGTCGCTATTCTCTTTACCCTGAAAATTTGGTCCTTTTACCTGAGAGATCAAAGTTGGTCGCTAATTAGCGACCAACTTTGGTCTCTAAGGTAAAGGGACCAGCTTAATATCGACCAGGCGTGTTTGGTCGCTTTTTGGCCAATAAGCGACCAACTTTGGTCGCTTTTCGTGGTCGCTTTTTTCCGGATTTCTAGTAGTGTATAAGACATGAAAGAATTTCCTATTATGAGCTTGAACAAGCAACAGAAGGACTCAAAGAAAGCAACTTGCTTGGTAATGGGAGTTTCAGCATGGTCTATATAGGGATACATAAGGACGGTACTCTTTTGGCAGCAAAGGTATTCAATGTGCAATTGGAAGGTGCATTCAAAAGTTTTGATACAGAATGTGAGATGCTAAGAAACCTCCGCCATCGAAATCTTACTGAAGTCATCACTAGTTGCTCCACCCCGGACTTCAAAGCCTTAGTATTGGAATACATGGCGAATGGGACATTTGAAAAATGGTTATACAGTCATAACTTATTCTTAGACATGTTGCAGAGATTAGATAAAATGATAAATATTGCATCTGCAATGGACCATCTCCACAATGACTATTCAACACCAGTGGTGCATTGTGACTTGAAGCCAAGCAATGTCTTGCTAGATCAAGATATGGTTGGCCATGTCACTGATTTTGGCATTGCAAAATTGTTAGGTGCAGGAGACGCTTTTGTTCAAACTAGGACAATTGCAACCATTGGATATATTGCTACGGGTATTATAACTTTAAAGCTTCCTCATATCCTTAGAGTACCCAAAACATTAATTCTTTACCCTGGATATAGATTGGTAAGCTTTTCTAATTATTTTGACCATGATTGCAGAGTATGGACAAGATGGATGTTTATAGTTTTGGCATCTTGATGATGGAGACTTTTACACTAATGAGACCAAGTGATGAAATATTTACCGGAGACTTGAGCATACGAGGTTGGGTTAGTGATTCTTTTCCATGTGAGATTCATAGGGTGGTGGATGCTAATTTGGAACAGCCAGTGGATGAACAAACTGACGCAAAGATGCAGTGTATGTTATCTAACATGGAATTAGCTTTGAGCTGCACTTTAGTGACACCTGATGCAAGAATTAGCATAGAAGAAGCTCTCTGCACACTTGAAAAGATTAGGTCCAGTTTTGTCAGTAGTCAACACTGGGTGGAATCAGACCATCGGCTCTGGATTCCTATATTTTCCAAATAATGAGATTAAATTTGGTCACATCATATAAACCTGGTATTTCTAATACGGATATAACGTTCAAATCAAAAAAGTAAAGTTCATGTGCAACTTCATTTGAATCTCTTTAAAGACATACCACACAACTTTAAACTCGCTTTTGAAAAGCTGTTTGGTATCTACTGGTATGAGAGTAAAAATGTTTTATAAGGCACGAAATGTGACAGGTTTTGACAATATATGGCATTCTGAATGAAATGAGAGAAAAGAGAAGAAATGATGTAGAAATATTCAAAAGAAACATCACTAAAATATATGATTGTTGTGTTGTCAATGACTACAAATAGCTCTATGAAACTTTGGATTAAACTAAGTGAGTCATCGATGAAGTGAGAACTACAAAAATCAAAGGGAAACAAATATACAAAAAGATCTCAGCTATAAAAAGTGGGATCTCTTAATCCTCCCTAGGGAGAATCTACACCAACTAATAGACTAACAACACAAGGTCCAGAAGCCTTCAACCAACTATAGATTCATGTTTCCTACAACAACAATTTGTATATAGACAGGACATCACCACTGCAAGCAGCCTTTCTTCATGGGAAACAACAACGGAATTGACTGTAACACTCCTCAAATTTATAAAAAGTTTCAAGGCACGCTAGATATAGAATTTAATTTTTATAATCTTAAATTATACTTCTATTACAGATTTAAATTCTTGTGATTGATTTTGAATTACTTTTCTATTTATAAAAATTTGGACATACAATTAGGGAAAATATTAATATTTTTTTTATTATTAATCATTAGAAGTGAGTATCCAAAAAAAAAAAAAAGGGAATCAAAATCAGCTTTTAAGAATTTGGGCTTAAAGCCCATATACCACTCCTCTGCGTCACGACCAAAACAAACCAAAGGCATAAAGCCTTATAATGAAAGTCAAAACAAACAAAACGCACAGAGATAAGAAACAGAAGCAGTGAACAAGTCACGCAGTCAACGGAAAACCTAGGAATCTTTACAAATCACTTATACTTGAACTCAGGTATGTAAAATCCCCTATTGTCAATTACCCTACAGTAGTAATAGGTAAGAATTGAATAGTTAATTCCCTTCTTCCTCTATATCATCAATAAATTTCATAATTAGGTGTAGTACTTTAAAATTGATTAAAATGCACTGGTTGTTGTAGAATCGATTGTTTGACTGGTGTCAATTGGACTGGGGCCTACGTATTGGCTCGAAAAGTTTTGAGGTGAGTTGATATAACCCTTTACTAAAGTGGTTTAACTCACAAAAGCACGTATACAAGGTGTTTGATGAATTGCTTAAAAGAGTTTATATTTATTTAATTAGGGCGAGTGAGTACCCATTAACTTAGAATTGTTCTAGCAAAAGTTTAGATGATCTATTATGATATATGTGCTTAAATTTTCAGATTTTTGTGTTATTCTTATATGCTATTTTCATGTTGAAAATTTATGAAGAAGAAAGAATCTTTAGAAATATTTTTATATGTTTATTTCATTCTTATTTTCAGATTTTTGTGTTATTCTTATATGCTATTTTCATGCTGAAAATTTATGAAGAAGAAAGAATCTTTAGTAATATTTTTATATGTTTTTTTTTATTCTTATGCCATGCTTTACATTTAAGGACACCAATATGAGCATGTACATGATGTTCTATAAAGAAAAGATTTAGACTTGAAAAGTCACAAGAAGAAATTATAGAAAGAAAAGATTTTTTGGAGTATCCTTTATTCTGAGAAGGGGTCATCGTCCAGGCCGAGGGTCCTGACCAAGGCGTTGACTTCCTGAAACTATTTGTGCCAAAGTAGGGAGGACACGAGCCG